TGAGAGGCTCCAACAGAGGGGACAGTACTGAGCAGCATGGAGATCTGAGGAGAGCAGTGTCACCCCACCTCAGCTGCAGCCACTGGGCTAAGGATAAAAACTGTGCCCAGACAAAACACAGTCAGAGGCGACTCCAGGATCCCCACGAGGGTACAGCACCTTCCAACTACCGGCCGATAAACTGCCTCTCCACGACATGGAAGCTCCTCTCAGGCATCATAGCAGAGGACGTGCATCCTTGTGGCGTTTTCCTCCGTCAGAGAAAGTGCTGGCAGGATGCCAGGGAGCTCCTCATCCCACTACCTCATTAAAAAAATATAGTTTTGTTTCTGACAGAAATTTGTTGACAGCATACCACCACATGTCTTGTTTGACATTGTTTTTTCACCATTAGCATCAACTGCAGGATGGCTTGCCCTCATACGTTGTATGGATGAGGGACACTGTGGGAGACAACAATATGGTGAATATCCTCTCCTCATCCAGAGCTCCTGTCAGATGGAGTCTGGTCAGGCCTGTTTTAGGCTCAGGGGCAATTTAAACTAGTCCTCCATTCAGTGTCCAGTCAACCTGCTCCCACTGATGAGCTTCTCTGTCTTTGCTGTGATGAGACTGATTAATCAATATCACATTCGAGGTCGTGATGTTGTACTGAATATCAGCATGGCTGTGATTCGGTCACAGGTACGAGTCCGCAGGCTGAGTACTGAAGACAATCACAGCTGTGCCAACACAAATAGTTCCACAACTGGACTGATACTGGACTGTTGCTAACCAACACATAAACACTGTCCTGACCTGCGCAGTGTTAGTAGAACACCTCTAAAGTCATACATGTAGTTAAAAGTCCCAGTGCTGTTGTGCTCTATATCAGCACTCATGGAATCCAATCCAGAAGTCAAATTCAATATTATTACTTCAATATTATTCAAAAATATTGTACATTGAGATATTACATTTTGGATCTCGCCCGAGCCTCGTTGTGAAGGGGCGGAGTTACCAGAAGAAAGGAGAGCCAAGATACAGGATAGCTACAAGTACCTGGGTGTCCCACAGGCCGACAGGAGCCATAATGAAGAAAGAAGGAGGTCAGCCACAGCCAAATACCTCCAGAGGGTAAGACAGGTGCTGAGGAGCCAGCTCAATGGTGGAATAAGACCAAAGCCATCAACATGAAGCCCCAGCAGTCAGCAGATACCCAGCTGGAACAGTAAACTGGCTCCAGGAGGAAACAGACCGCTGATGTTAGGACATGAAAACTCCTCACAGTGAACTGAGGGCTACACCCAAAGTCCAGCACCCTGAGACCACTAGCAACAGAAATTATGCACATGGGTCCTGATGAGTAATTCTCTAGGTATTTGAGGTGATTCTACATCAAACCAATGCTAACGAGTTTCACTGTTATCAGTTATCAGACATCGTCAGATGCAGTAGTTGTCTGTACAGTCTGTAACGGTGTGAATATCACCATCTGACCTTCAGTCAGAACGTATTGCTCCGCAATATGTTTTCAGAAGTTCATCTGAGAGTTATCTAACATCTACAGTATTTACTAAGCTGTGTTTCCTTGGTGAACCAGACCTATTCTCGTCCCTCCCTTGTGGTTTCTAATGGTTTCAATTAGAGACACAAACATACAGCCCCACCAACATGTTCCCCATCTCCCAATCAAAGGTTCTGCCTCCTCACAAATCCCTATATAAGCCCTGGGCACGTGTTCACAGACACTGCTACCCAGGAGAACCACATGGGTTGTGAGGAACATACTTCATCAGTGACATCATACATCAGTACATGTGTTGATGCTGTGGTGATCACAAACACAGAGAAATCATTGCCCAACCAGAGCAGCTGGATGAGTGGAGAGGTGAGGGCTCAATGCAGAGCCAAGAAGCTGCTGAAAGTGACAGGGACACACACACACCACCCCCAGAGCAAGACTGAGAACAGAGACATCAACGCCGACCGGAGAGAGATCTCAACACCAGCAGCAGCAAGGACATGTGGCGGATCCAGAACATCACCTCCTCAACAGGGAGTCAGCTGTGGAGTCTCCTCCACCTCCACAGGACCTGCCTCTGTCAGTAAGAGTCGTGCTGACAGTGAAGATGAGTAACATCCACCATCTGACTGATGTCATTATATATGTCACAGGAAAGCGTTTCCACCTGCTTCAACACAGCCACCATCGTCCCTGAACCTAAAGCGCCTGCAGCGTCTAAATGACCCCCGCCCTGTGGCCCCCCTCTCATGAAGTGCTGGTTCTCCAGCACATCACAGACACCATGCCAGCTGGCTGGACCCAGAACCCACAGCTCCACAAAGCATCTCCACTCGGTCTTATGGCTGACACGGTCTGTTTTTCTGGACAGTGTTAACAATGTAGCCTTTGCACCATTTATAGTTCAGTCCACTCAACCAGCAGAATAATAAACAATAATAATAAAACTCAAAATAAAAACACATAACTAACACTGCTGGTGAACAGTCACTTAATAAGTGAAAAAACATGTATATATGGTTGAACACACGCTTGTCTGCACCCAGCAGCATCAGAACCCTAATAGACGATTAAGTCCCAGGATCTGATCCAGTCCTGGACCATGAGGGACCAGTACAATCAGGGTGCAGCTGGGACAGTCAGTCTAAGTCAGTTCAGCTTGGATCATCACAGCTGTAACTTTCTGTACAAAAGAATCTCAACTACAAGGTTGACCAACAGACAGGAGAAGAAATTACCTTATCATATATTGAAAAGTAAAACTAAATTTAATGGAGGCCTCACTCAAATTTAGTCTTTTTTTTCTCTGCATTAGAATGTATCGCTTTTCATTTAAATATTTCACAGCAAAAAATAAAAGTTATCATTTGTTTTAACAACAATCTACAGAAGACACCACAAAAATGTCATTCAGTGTAATAAAAAAATCTTAGGAGGCTCATCGAGAGCAACAAATAATTAGATAACACATTATATATTATATTACATTTTGCCTTTATCCTTCCAACCAGCAGGTTTTATCCATTTTTGTAAGGAAGTGAAATAAAATATAATTAAATGAAGTTTGATCACATATTTATTTTATACACTGTAGTAAATACAGGACAGCGTATAAATATGTCTGTTACACTGAATGACCACAGTTTGTTACTCTGAATGATGTTCTGTCAAAAAGGGATAGAGTGTACTGGCATTGTCTTTGCTCCATGATTACAGTGTTCTTAGTCTGGATCATTACATTAGTTCTGAGAACATGAGGAAATGACAGCAGAGACAGGTAAAGGTAAAAAGAATAAACGTCAAAGATGACACACGCCTATTTTTTGTCTGCATCAAATTAGATTTTACAAAAGTCTTTTCAGTACAGAGGAACACATTAAATAAAACAACAGTACTAATTTTAATGTTTCAAATTCATTTTGGTCCACTACGGAAGCCCTGAAAGGCAAGTGAATTTTTTTTTTTTTGTGAGGATTTTTTTCCTTACAAAAGTTTTTTTCATCTGTAAAAGCGATGCCCTGCAAGGACAGTGACATTTTTTTTTCCAGGACCATTTTTCTAAGTTCTTTTTTTCATCTGTATAAAAACCTTTGAAAAATGATCGCCCCCCCCCAAATATTTCTTATATGGGGTCAGTAGTAGTTAACTAAGTCAGCCTATAATAAATATACCAACCAAGACCTGAACCCCCTTTTCCCATATGAAAGTTCGCAAGAGACTGACTCTTCCACCTAGTCTTATCACTTCTACAAGTTTGGTTTCTTGTTATACACTCTCACCTGACTTCCCAAAGCATTTCTGGTAGCACACCTTAGCTAATTAAAATACATTTATAGCCAAGAAATGGAATAGTAACATTACATAACTTGCTAACACACATTACATGTACCTTGTGTTAGTGCATGGAGAAATTAAAAATCACCTAGAGGGAAAAATTAAGGCTTTTTGTCAGATTTAGAGTCGGCTAGTGGTGCATTTTACCCTCTTGTGGCCGACATCAGTGTTACAAAAGCAAACAAAAGAGCAAAAGCAAAAATCCTCACTAAAAAATTCTCACGGAAAAAGATCTGCACTAAAAAGAAAAGAAAAGAAAATTTCACAAAAGGTTTTTAGTTTTTTTTTTCACCTATGACAACTTCCTCTCAGTGTAAGTGTCAAAGTGCACGTATAAAAAATATTTGTCAATACAAATAAGATGCTAAAATTGTTCTATACAGTGATACTGATACACAGATACACTGTGGGGTAACACAGAAATTGCATTACACTGAACAACAAAAACATTACACTGAATGATGATTTTGCAGTTTGGATCATGATTTCATTTTAATTTTGACAATTTATTTCCCCTAAAGTTATTTGAAATATTAAAGTAGATACTGTTGTTTTATTTGAAATGTTATTTATGTATATAAAATCACTTCTGTAAATGTGATTTGATACAGACAAAAACACAGTCCACAGAGGCAGCACTGTTGTACCATCTTATAAAAAACATTAAACTTCATATAAGCTAATGTTGAGGCAGCAGAGACCTACATTTACACCCTAAAGGAAACATGTGTTCAAACACTACACAGGGCAGAGATGAGACTGTTCTCCTCAGGATGATGATGATGGACACTGGACAGTGGACAGATACTCTGGGATACTTGGAAACCTAAACACACAAGTCAGCACCTAAAGTATCACTGAGACACTTCTGCTGATCTGGGACTGTTTTGGACTCAAACTGGAGCAAGACTTGCGTTTGTGACTGATGAGGTTTGACAGAGAAGAGGACGGGCCGTGTTGACTCTGTGTCAAGTCTCCAGTCAGCTGCTTAGAATTTCACACATATGAAAATACTACAACACACATCACATTAAGCAATCAGGATTTAGCCTTTCTGATCTTCTGACTCATCACAAAAACTCAGATTAGTGAGAAAATTTCATAGCAATAACACTATGATAGTAATTATGTTTAAAATAGAAAGTGAAACTGAAGTTCGTACCTTCATTTTTTTGGCCTCAGCACGACTCTTGTAGCAGAACTCCACCAGAGCCACCATCATGGCCAGACCCAGACCTCCAACCAGGATGTAGAAGACCCCTGCTACATTACTAAGAGACAGAGCGCTGGTCTTCTCCTAGTACACATGCATAATCACACACACACACACACACACGCACACACAAACCAAGAGAGAGCGCAGCCACCCAGACAGAAGTGGGGTTAGTGGGATGTTTTAAAACAGACCTCATTTCATTTTCTGCTCAAACTGAACTAACCTGTCACCTGTTCACATTTAACTCATCATAAATACACAAGAGCTTCACATAAGAGTAGAGTCATCAACAACTACACTAAACCTGAGCTGCACACATTTAAATACATTTTGTGTGTATGAATTTTGTGTGAATGTACCTTTTCATTTAGTGTATTTATACATGTGTTTCCAGACAGTGATCATGTGATACATAATATAATATATATCATAATATTTATAATATATATGACACATACATACACATACGTATATATATATATATATATATATAGTGTAATATATATCTCTCTAATACGTACGCACACTACCAGTCTAAAGCTTTAGAACACCTCCATTTTTCCAGCTGTTATTTTAAGTTACATGATTCAATGTCTCAGTTTCTGATATTAAAGCTTAGAACAAACAGTTGTAGATTTAAAAATAAAGAATCATTGAATCTTGTTGTTGAACTAAACTGAATCTAAATGTCTGACTCCTCCAGCAGCTGAACTCCCTCCGATGAAATTAATCATTGATCAGAAAGTTGGTCCAATTCTTTTTGCAGAAGTTTCCACTGATGTGTCACTGTCAGCTTCTGTCCACTTCCGGTCTGAAGACTGTGCTGGTCTTGTGGCTCATTATGTTGCTGCCGAATGAGGCTCTGACCAACCAGTTTGCCTGTTTTCCTCCTCTCTGACAGAAGTATACAGTCCTACTTCCAGCAGTACAGTGTTGTCATGGTGATGATCAGAGGTTGTAGTGACACAGTTTGTACAGACAGAGGGTTTCAGCAGCATTTCAAATTTTGCATCCAACCAAATAAAACCACTGTGCTAGCTAACTTGTGTTTTAGGTCTTCATGGCTATAAAACAACCCGTCACATGTTGTACTGACAAACACCAGGATACAGAGCAAACAGCGAGACAACAAACAGTGGCTACAGCTGATGCTTAGCTAACATGGAGAGAGGAAGGTACAAGGTAAGGTCAAGACCTGACAATATTGTAGAGAGAAACCAACTGTTCCAAGTGTTCCGTCCATTAGGTTTTTACTGGCCCCGTCAGTCTCTGTCCCAACCCTCTCTGTGTGCCTGGCATTCAGGGTGCAAGCTGGTCCTGGCAGCTCAGTCCAGGTCTGAAGTTCTGTCCCGGTCCAACTCTGCAGTCTCCACAGATGTTAACGCAGCTATCAGCCATTGTCTGATCACAGCACTTATTCTCCTCTTTGGCTGTTCCTCGACCACATCTCCTTGTTGACAATGCTGTTATGTTATGAAGTATATTCCACCATCACACTGTCACAAGTGGAAATTTCTTCCATGCTCTCACCTTCACCTTCAGTTTCTCTTCCCATTTCCAGAGTCAAGTCTGTGTAGGAACACCAGCTGGTGGACCGTGAGGCAATATTAACTGAGTAGCGTCTTCATCCCTGAAAAAGGTCTGTTTTCTATCACATTTACAAGATTTTTCAGTTTTCGGTGACCTGGGTCAGTTTATCACTGACTGTGTTCCCATTAACCCGCTTAATGCACAATTTGAAATTGTCCACTGAAAAACCAGTAATGGCAACGTGAATTTTGAAAAAAAATTGTCAAATGTGGCAAAAACATTACTACGCTCTGATGAGGCAGTTTTTCAGACTATTGCACAAAGCAATATTTCGCAAAAGTGAAATGGAAACACTTTTTCTGCATTTAAGTCACATCCAAAGACATTACAGACTATTATCTCCCAAAAATCCCTGATACGTGGCCGCTGTCAAATACAAGGGGTTTGCCTTTCCATCATTAGATGCACCAGACGCCCTGGTCACCTTCGACTGAATACTACAGCAGATCTTGTAGTGAATGTAATTGTCCCAACAATTAACAGATGATTGAAATCCATCACCATGTTTAACTGGAATGACATCGTGAGAGGAGAAAACCAGCTTTATTGACATAATATCACTCAATGGAAACACAGAACATTCACAACTGTGTTCTGTGGACTTTTCTAAAAACTCACTTCTATTCAGCAAAAAACTGCAATGGAAACACAGCTAGTGATCTTTGCACCATTCAAGGTTTTTTCACTGAGACATGAGCTGCTGACATTTCAGTAAAAACTGGAAGAATAAGGGAGTTCTAAAACTTCATATATATATATATATATACATATATAGATATAAATTTGTATGTATATAAACACACACACATAGGTATATGTACTGTATATACGATATGATCAGATAATATGTGATATGACATTGTTCCTTAGAAGTATACTGAGGCCTTGTTCTGTTGCATTCAGTGTTCCTCAGCAGACAGTGAGGCATTGATAAACACATTGGGCCTCATGCAAGAGCATTCTTCTCTTCTTGTCCTAAAATCCTCTCTGAGGTTTGTTCATACGAGTTCCAAGTCAGATTCACCTAACAGTCGTAACCGGACAAGCTTGTCTTAATTCGCTCATTTCAGACAGGTGAATACCACCTGTCAAGAAGGAGGAGCCGTATAAGGCTTCCCGCTCCGCTTCCATCGTGAGAAAAATATCCCAGACAAGTAAAAAGATGAATTTCAGTTTCAGAAATCAGATAAACCACCTTCAGCGGAGTCAGAGGTCGAGTCGTTTAATCCAGAGACATGAAGGTAAAAAATCTGTCAGTGACGTCATCAGAGCAGCACTGTCCTGTGACAGAAACATAGAGGGACGGTTCAAGCCTCGTCAACTAAGATACTGAAAAAACACGCGTCCGAAGCAAAGTGGACCATGACTGATATCAGAGCTGGATACTGAGATTCCAGAGAATATTACAGTCCTCAGTAGGCGATGGTAGATCTTCAGGTAAGGATGATGCTGGACAAGCCTGCACAGACCCTGAGGCTGCTGTGACCGGATGTTGTGTAATGTAGTGATTATTCCACTTCAGCAAGTGCATCCTGGTCTATCGTTGTGTTTACGTTTGGACTGAACTGGAGATGCAGGAGGACGGTGGTCAGAGTGTTGTGTAAAATTAATATGCGCATAACTTGTGTAAATACTTCTGTCAATATTTTAACGAGGTGGTGTATTGTTGAAGCTGTTGGTGTTGCTGTCTTGTAATTGTGGCATGGACCGGAGACCGCCATGTCCTAAAGTGCATGTAAGACGATGCGCTAAGTGTCCTGCTGTGAAATCCAGAGGCCACTGTTGTATTTCATTTATGGTAAGTTGTTGTATTTTTCTGTAGTGTGGACCCATACTGAGTCAGCAGCAGGCGTACCGGACCTCGGTTGTTATGCTTACAATAATAAACACACAAACTGTACCGAGAGGGGCGTGCCTACCTTCGTCACCAAGGTTACTATAATAACGGTCATGGCTTGGTTAGGTTAAGGAAAAGATGGTGATTTTGGTTAAAAGTAGTACTTCCTCAACATCAGTTAATCTTTGTTGTCATGGTTACAATAATAACAGCAAATGGTCATGGATAACAGAAACATGAACTGCTAGTTTCACATGGGAATCAAACAGCGCTCTCCTGTGTCATATTTATCCATCCACCACAACCTCCTCCTGACGTGGACTTTGTCTCTCTTTATACTACGTCACCGCACTTTTCCCTTTGCTCCTGTCATCATTTCTATGACCACTAGATGTTGCCTAGCAACAAAACGTAACTATGGGTCATAATAACCTGCTGCACAGAGACCTGTGGGCTCATTTTGTACAGGAGGACAGTCTCGTCTGTTCAAGTCTGGAAAACCCACTTTGCTCCAAGTATGAGAAAACTGGAGAATACGACCAGTTCTCTGGAATGGCGGGAACTGATCTTTTCCAACAATCTGGTCTGATATGAGGCCCAATGTGCTTCCATCTGCAAAGCTGATTCTTTGAAACCTCTGGGAACCTGCATTGCTAACATCATGTTTGATATGTGACTCAGTCTTAATGCTTTAGCATGCAAAGCATTGTTTAAAGCAAGTAAATATTTTCTACATTGTAGAACTGCAGACATCAGAACTATGAAACAACACGTGGAATTATGTAGAAAAAAAAATATGTTTCATTTTTTAGATTCTTCAGTAGACACCATTTACCTTGATGACAGCTTTGCACAATGTTGGCATTATCTTAGACAGCTTCATGAGGCAGTCACCTGGAATGGTTTTCAATTAACAGCTGTGATTGGTCAAAAGTTAATTAGTGGAATTTGTTGCCTCGTCTTTATGTGTTTGAGACCATCAGTTGTGTTGTGTCATGGTCATGTTGGTACACAGTAAATAGCTCTATTGGACAACTGTACTTATCCATATTATGTCAAGAACTGTTGAACTAAGTCAAGAGAAAACAGTCCATCATTACTTCAAGACATGAAGCTCAGTCAATCCAGAAAAGTGCAACAGCTTTGATTTTACAACAGTTAGTTCTGACCAAGTCATTTGATTGGATGAGAGTCATTCCCTGAGTGCTGATACAGAGTATAACAGCACTGGGACCTTTAACTACATGTATCACTCCGCTTTACAGGTGATCTACTAACAATTAATTAGCGTTACAACGGTCGTTATCTATCTTAGATTGTAACAAACTTTGCAAAGGTGAAAATAATTCCAGAAATAACATTTGAATTAAGTGATGTCTTGTCGTCAGAAGAGGATGAAGGGAAGAGACCTGGATACTGCAGCACACACCTCCAGGTGCACTCATATGACATCATTAGGTCAAGAAAATCTTTATGTGTTGCTTAGCAACAATCTAGTACCAGTCCTGTTGCAGAAGGGTTAGGGTCAGGGGTAGCCAAATAAATTAGGAAATAAACAAACAAATCATAATCGTAAGACTGACCTTTGCTGCAGAGGAGAAGTTCATGAGAGTTACCCGCCTCAGCAGCAGCTCAGATTAAGAGTCAACATGAATGCTTCACAGAGGTCAAGTACTGACACATCTCAACATCCAGTGTCTGAAGGAGACTGTGTGAATCAGGGGTGCTGGTGAATTGAAGGCATCACTACCACAGCATTCTGCAGCCACATGCCATCCTATTACTAGGACCATCATTTGGTTTTCAACAGGACAATGAACCACACACATCCAGGCTGTGTAAGGCCTATTTAACTAAGAAGGAAAGTGAAGGGGTACTGCATCTCATGACCCGGCCTCCACAGTCACCTGACCTAAACCCAGCTGAGATCGTTTGGGATGAGCTGGACCGCAGAGTGAAAGAAAAGCAGCCAACAAGCGCTCAACATACATGAACTCCTTCAGGACTGTCGGAAACCATTCCAGGTGACGACCTCATGAAGCTGGTGAGAGAATGAAGAGTGACCACAGCTGTCATCAGAGGTAAAGGAGGCTCCTTTGAAGAGCCTCTAAAGCATTTAGAATCATTTACACTGTTTTTGTTTACATAATTCCATATGCATTATTTCACAGTGTTGGTGTCTTCAGCTTCCTTCTACAATGTAGGAAACAATAAATAAAAAACACTGAGTTAGAAAGTGTGTTCAAACTTTACACATGCACTGTATGTAGTTTGTAAGTATTGCAAATAAATCTCCATCTCTTACTTTACAGACATTACCTTAGCAACAACAATTTCAGACAGACAGACGGATGGACGGACAGACAGCCTTTGACTTGTGATAAAACAGACAGAATAAAAAATAAAAGCCTAACTGCTGATACAATGTGGATTCAGTGGGTTTGAGTTCATTCTGTTTTCAGGATATCACCTCTTTGTCTTCTTATCGACATTAAACTTATGATACTTACAGTGTGACAGGTGGACCTCCATGTGGTTGACATGACTAACAGCTGTAACTAACCTGTGCTAAGCAGACTGTGTGAGGACTTTACAGATACACACACATACACTGTAGGACTACTGTAATCTCTCACTGACACATACAGAACCAAGATTACTGTGCATGTTAAATATGAGAACAGACAGTGTGTTTGGTTGATCCACAGACATATACAACTAACCTTATTGGTGGAGTCCTTGAAGCCACACTCTCCTTTATCGTACCACCACTTGTTTTTCATCTTGTCTAGGGTCCCTTGCTCATTCAGTTTCAATACGGCAAGGTTTACTGGCACTCTTCAATGGGAATAACATAAATAACATCATTATCAATGTTATCTTATGTTATTAGTGGGGCAGCGGTTCTCACACTCTGGTCCAGCAGCCAAAAGAGGGCCTGTCCTGTTTGTCGTTAGCATAACACCACGCTGACAGGGGTGATTGGTTCATTTTGGAGGAAGGAGTTTTAAAGCAGACACTCTCCGTCTACTGTCAAATGCTGAATGGTAATATGTTTGAGTCCCATGTTGTTGGGACCCCTCTGTTTGGCCCCTGAGACAGAGGATGAGATGTGCTGCATTGAAAAGCCTTTCTGCTCCTGCAGCAGCAGCAGTTTTCCCCCGGTCACACACTCTTTATCAGCTGTTGCTACCATCTGGTGTGAGGTCACCTGACCCTGGACTCACCCCTGAAGCCTGCCCTGACCCTGACCTCAACCAAACAGGGCGCAACACATCAGTGAAAGAAGCAGCATCAACTAAAACGCCACCTGCTGGTGGTGCTGATCAGTGACCACATCTGGCTTCTGTCTATAAGCATGCATCTGTTCTTATGTTAATGTGAATGCTGTAGCTTGACGTTGCTAACATCGCTGTGGCGTTGTAGCTTTGCTGCTTCTTTACATTGTTTTTACACATGATAACCCAGTATTACCTTTTGTGTGTGTGTGTGTGTTTAGGTGTGTGTTTAGGTGTGAGTGTGTGTGTGTGTGTGTGTGTGTGTGTATTAACCTTGCTCTCCCCTCCTCCGCTGCCGCATTCTCCCTTGTCATACCACCACTTGTTTTTCAGTTTGTCCAGCAGCCCCTGCTCGTTCAACTTTAACACCGCCAGGTTCACCGCATTTCTACATGAACACAGTGGCTGTTAGCAGTTCAGGTGTCATGTCAGTCTTCCTGCTGGTATTCATGTTAGCAGCATCAACTCTGACTCCTGAGCATGAACAGTTACACACAGCTGCAACAACTCCCCTTTCTTAGCAGCAAACTTATCACTATGATCTTAGCTAGATTAGCATTAGCATAAGCATGTCTGAGCAGCTAGCTGAGTAATATATGCACGTCTTACAGATACAGTTGGGTTCTGAGAGCCAGTTCTTTTTTATCAAATTATTATTTATCAGCAAAGATCACTACACAAAACATCCACTCATCAGCCTCTCATTGACCTTTGTTGTGTATATCTGTGTTATGGTCTGTTACTTTGGTGTTGTCTGGTCATCTGCTCTGTGAGGTGTTTGAGTGTCTTCTGTAGCTCTGGCCTTCAGCTCTACTGGTTATGGAGACACACCAACATCACTAATCTGGTCACATGACTAAAACCAGGGTCCAACAGGGCGACAGGAACAAGCTGTCAGGTAATCCGACTGAAACACCTGAGTAGAGATGAAACGGTTTCACGCTAAGCCGCTATAAAAATGCCAGATGGTTAGTATTACCGTTTAAATTCAACCATCACTCCGTGGTTGATTACCGGGGGTTAATTACTGTGGTTAATTTAACTCGTTAGGTACTGTACCATCAACCAGCAACCATCTCCCAGACACGTGGAGGAAAGCAGTGACAGCTCCTCTGGATCAGGACTTACTGTTTGCTGCAGCTCACCAATGAATGACACACTAACAACTTTTTAATCTTGTGCCATGTTTTCCTTTTTTCACTGCAGTACTTCTTTTAAATGGTGTTGAAGTTTCTCAGTTTTCTGTGTATGTCCATGCCTCTGTGAAGCACTTGTGTCTGACTGGTGCATGTGCTTGGAGAATTTTCAGCCTTCTGATATATTTTTTACACCAACATTAGCAGGTAGAAGCAGGTTTTGTAAACGCGTGTAAACCTGATAAAAATGCGACTGTACAGTGGCCCTGAGGGCTCAACGCACTGCAACACATGCACTGCAAATCACAACACATGCAAGAAGTGTTTCCAGGGGACTAAAAAGTGATGAACCTGGCTGGGACTCGCTGTTCAACGCCCACTTGTGACTTCTGAAGTTAAAAGCATTGAATAACAAGTGCGTCACAGCAGGTTCATCACTTTTTTCTTTTTAAGCCATTTTTCTGAGAGAGAGAGAGAGAGAGAGAGAGAGAGAGAGGATGATATGGCGCAAAGAGCCACGGGCTGGACTAGAATAATGGTTAGGATTACAGTTAGGATTACCCCCACTCCCCCAACCCCCATGCTTGAGTCCCCTGGAAACACTTCCGTCATGTTGCTGGACAGAACTTGCAGCGTGTTTGTGTATTTGCATGTGTTTTCTTAAGCTGCAGTGCGTTGAGCTCTCAGGGCCACGGTACGACTGACTTCTCTTCCACTGCCAGAGGAGTATGTGTTTCTGTTCGGAGAGGACACATATAACTGCAGAGAGTGATGTCATCACATGCACTTACAGAGCACACGCGCAGGGGAGAAACAGCAAGCTGCTAGCTGCTGTGCTAACTGGATAAAACAGATCCATGGCGTTTCATCCCAGGTTTGTGCTGCTGTCAGTGTCGGAGTCTCTGTGAGACACTTCGATCGGTGATTGTGTGTTTTTGAAACTTATATTGGGGCTGCAGCTTCACTCTGTCATCCCTGAACAGTGTGGTCTGTGATATTTTCACTGTGCTGGACAAGTGACAAGTGTGCGTTCACATCGTCTCTTCTCTGAAAGACGTTACAGCAGGAAAATAATAATATTCCCTTGTTAACAGAGTGGACATGCAGCAGGCAAACCCAGGACTAATACTGGTCCCTGGTCCTCAGCTGAGACACAGAGCAGTTCATTATTTTAATGTTTAGATGCAACAAAAAGTGCTGCTGATGACTTATTTGTGGTTTCTGTTACTGTTACTGTATAAACATTTTCAGCATATTTTAACACTATATAATACACTATAGATAATACTGGTAACTGTGATCGTTTCATCTCTGCACCTGTATCAGACGCTGACCTCTGGTTCATCACCGTGTTCAGTGTGACTGTACCTGATAGAGCTGACGGCCAAACAGCAAAAGAACTGTGACTAACGCTGGTTTTCCTTTCAGTCAGACTGAAGCTGCAGCACAGAAACAAGGCTAAGGTTTAGGTCAGGGCACCACTCTGCCCACATCACTAAACAGAGGGGCCCGTCTCTGGAGGGAGGATCTGGCTCTGTCACGTCAGTTTCAGACCCTCAGTAACAACTTAAGATCCATACTTGAGTCTCTGGGTCGTACTACAATTACATCTGGTTTGTTTTCATCAAATTAAAGGAGTACCTACTCTAGTTTGTACCACATGACCAGACCGGGGGCTGGTTGCACAAAGTTAGCCACTGACTGGTGCTTATACAAGTATATATGCAAACCAGGGCATCACTGTATGTGGCTGAGCTAACAGCAGAGGACTTGTGCCTTTATTTTAAGGGTCCCTTAGTTTCCTGCTAATTTCTAAAACCTTTTCTAATAGCCTACATGTCTCATTGTTTGTCCTGTAATTTAGTCTTATGTTGAAGGGGAATGAATTTAGACCAGTCAACGATTCACTCTGATCTTATCTTAATTGTCCTTTACTGTTACTAATATAAATGTGTTAGTTTAACACTCGTACTGACTCTGGCTTGACGATTTGATGTTATGGTTGTAGCCACACCCATGGGAGGGGCTAAGCTTGTCCAATGACACACACCTGAGTCAGTTTGTTAATTGTTTATATCTGTGTTGTTGAGATGTTGTAGTAGTGAGACTGAAAACAGAGAAGGATAATTCTGACCTGTAATTAAAAATAATACCAGAACCTTTTTAGTTTTGGTGCTTTCTTTAATACTTTAGTACTTTCTCTTTAATGAGCGAGTACTAACAGTACCAGGAGAGCACTTTCATCTGTTCCCTTTAATTATACTAACGAATGACATGACAGGTATCAGAGGTTAAATACCTGGGGAACAGCAGGAAACTAACTGCCCTGTGAAATAAAGACTTCTTTTTCTAACCTCATTCTGTGTTTTCTCTGCATCGTCCCACAGCTCCCATCACACCTGTTCTAAACATGCTGGGAGCTCCACCCACTTCATGCAACCATGGTCACCTCCCCCCTCAGTTCATCCAGCTGATGTTGAATATCGATTTAAAGGAACATGTGTCTGAATGCAGATCACAGATTGTGCTGAGTAAAGAGCCGTCCACACCAAGAACTCCAACTGAAGATAACATTGTTTTAAACATCGTGAGTCCACACAACGACTGTAATGACGACAGTGGTGAACAATATCGTTGGGGATCACTTTGATGAACAATATAAACACTGACAGCCAATTAAAATGCATTTAAGTTTACAGGGAGTCACATTCAGAAAATAGAATAATGGACTAATGTATGAACCGTAGTAGAGGTGGGCGATCCGATGATCTTATATCATGGGTGATCTATCTCTGTCATATGATCTACTTCAATTACTCATACTGATCGCCTCATTAAGAAGTTTCTATATTTAGGTACATTAAATTAAAAAAATTTAAAAAAAGTTAAGTCTCTGCTAACCAGACCATGTTAACTGTTAAACAGCTCGACCACTAACCGGAGCTGGAGACAACAAAAACCACTTTCACCAGCTGCAGTCCAAGATAGTGGAGTGACAGTCCATCCACAGGACCAGAGACCTGCTGCAGGCAGGGAGACAGGAAGAGGGACGAGCTGGGCCAGAGACTAAACTTTCAAATTAAAACACTTCCACATAGCACCTCATGAAAATAAAATAAAATAAATAAATAAATAAATAACAGCGCTGTCCAAACGAATACTCCATATGAACTACGAGAAAAGTCTGATTGGTTGTGACAGTTTGTAAACAAAAGACAGCATTGTGGGTGAAGAGTAGCAGTGAGCAGACAAACATCTGACGGAAGCAGCAAAGCGCCGGAAAGATACTAATTACAACTTCCGCTCAGGACTTTCACAATAAAATCAGAGCGGAAACAGGATGCAGATCATGATTCAGATCATGGATTGTGATTCTACTCAATTAGATGGTCATGAACTTTTTGCCAGATTACGCACAACTTCT